CCCCCCCCCCCCCCCCCCGTGGCCAGCCATTCCAGGGATCAGAACCCTTGACCTTGGAGTTCTGAGAGGGAATTATCCACCAAGATCTGGACTCTGCCAAATCAGGGAAAGCTGCTTGTCCAAAGGGGTGTCCACTTGTGAGGACAGTGTCTCCTGCTACCAGGGCCACCCGAAGCAAGAGCCTCAGGTTTATGCTGTGCAGGGAGCAGGACCCAGGACCTTATTCTTACCATGCAGAGACTTCCCTTTTTCTCCCAAGTTAATAAGACTTCTTTTTTCATCGAGAAACTTATCTTAGCCACAAATAAGAGTATTTCATATAATTCGAAAAACTTTCCCTTGGGAACCCCTCTTAGACATGTTAACATGAGACAATGAGAAAAGGATTCATTTAAATCTTTTCTCAGGTCTATGTTTCTTTCCAAGGTGAGGTATGATTATCACTTATCTATAATAAACTGCAGCTTGGAAAGCCAACAGATTTTAACACTCTTCTACCTTTAACAAAATAGAGAGTGAAGATGGAGAAGAGACAATTTTATGAATTTGGGTTTTTATATACATGAAAAGTGAATACACTCATACCAAGAAGCTTCTCTCCCAACATGTTCAGCTGGTCCACATTGAGACCTCTTTTGGTGACAGAAGAAAACTGCCAACTCAGCACTTCTGAAAGCTGAGACCATCGTGCACATGGTGGGTTCAGAAAGAAGGACAGATTCTAGAGAGAAAACACCCAAAAGCTAAGGGTTACCAGAGAGCCACTGGTCACAAGCTAGGCACTAAAACATGGGCCCATCCTGGAGTTCAGTTCTAGTTTATATGACACTGTAGTGGATTAACTATGTCCCCTCAAAACTCACCGATGCTTGCACTGTGTCCCCCAAGTTTTATGTATTAGAAACTTGGTCCCCACTGTGACCGCTAAGAAGGTGGGAAATTCTATTATTGTAATTAAAAGGTGGAGTCTTAAAGAAGTGATAAGATTGTAGAACCCTGCCGTAGTGAATGGATTGATAATGGTGGTCAGGGGTGTGGTTCTGAGGGCTTTGAAAGAAGAGGAGAGTCTGTCTGTCTGTCTCTCTCTGCTCTCTCTGCTTCCCCCATCTTGCAATGGGAGACCCCTGAGTCACTGTCGCCACCACCAGATGGACTTTGGACTTCCCAGCCTCAGAAACTGTAAGCAATAAATTTCATTTTCTTTACAAATCACCCAGTTTCAAGTATTTTGTTATAAGCAACGGAAATGGACTAATATGGATGTTTTCACAATAGGGAAAGAGAAAAAATACAGTCAACTCCCATTATTTGCAAATTCACATTTGTGAATTCATTTACTCACTACAATTTACTTCTAACTCCAAAATCAATACTCATGGCACCATTGCAGTCATTCGAAGACATACCCATGCACAGAGCAGCAAAAAATTTGAGCCGCTCAACACTTATCTTCCCAGCTGAGATCAAACAAAACACCACTCTGGCTTCTCGTTGCAGCTCTCATACTGTAAACAAGTGTCCTTTGTGCCAGCTACTTGGGCCGTGTTTTTCACATTTTTTGCTTTTTGTTGGTAATTTTGTTATTTATAATAGCACCCAAGCATAGTGCTGAAGTGCTGTCTAGTATTCTTAAGCTCAAGAAGGCTGTGATGCACCTTATGGAGAAAATATGTGTGTTAGATAAGCTTTATTCAGGCACGAGTTACAGTGCTACTGGCTCAACGTTAATGAATCAGCAACTATATCACATAAGGTGCTTTTAAACAGAAACACACATAAACAAGGTGATATATCAATGGGTTGATGAAAATGTTGTGACCAGAGGCTCGCAGAAACCTAACCCTGCATTTCCCCCAAGAGCAATGATTCAGCATTTGCTAATTAAGTGCTCCAGGGGAATGCAAGTACAGCGAATAACAAGAATCGACTGTAATTAATCCACAGTGAGTATCTACACTCTAAGAATGGAGCATGTTTGTTTAATAGATATATGCATTTTTAAAAAAAGAATAATAAAGGACCTCTTCCACAATAAAAGTTACATGAAATCATCAATTGCCTGAGCTTATTCACATGGAAGGAAAATCATAATCCTCATTTCTAACACATACACATGCTTTACTTTCCCAGAATTACTCAAGATCTCAGCAATGCCACATGAGTTTGTCACTTCTCCCTCAACATCTGGCCATTAGGGGCTATTTCAGAGATGCAGCAGTGAGAGCATGGGGCCTGTGGTTAACCCCTGGTACAAGCAAATGTGTTTTCCATACCCTGGGTTCTGCCACCAGCATGTTGTACCACAGGATGGAGGCCCAACCACTCGGGAGCTGGCTGACATTGGAGATCACCACAACAGGCAGAGAGGTCGTCTAAAAGATGATAAAGACCTTGAAATCATCTGAATGATGGAAATATCACCTTGGACAACTGTTTAAGCCTAAAAATAAGCAGGGGATTATTTGTAAATATGCATACTCAGTCATCCCTTGGTATCCATGGGGGATTGGTTCCAGGACCCCTGTGGATACCAAAATCCATGGTTGCTCAAGTCCCTGATATAAAATGGTGTAGTATTTGCATATAACCCATGCATATCCTTCTGTATACTTTAAATCATTTTCGTTTACTTATAATGTCTAACACAATGTAAATGCTATGTAAATAGCTGTTTATAGAATAACAAGTGAAAAGTCTGTATGTGTTCAGTACAAATACAATTTTTTTTTCCCCAAATATTTTCGATCCACAGTTGGTTGAATCCATGGGTGTGGAACCCACAGACACAGAGGGCTGACTGTATTTTACAATTGAAAATTAGAAATGTAAACTTACATTCTTTTGTTTATAGTTTATCTTTGACATATCATTCAGTTAAGAAATAAATCTGTAAAAACAATAGTAGCTCAATAATTTGTTATGGGGTACACAGTGTAAAAAAAAGTAAATTGTGACATTCAAAACATAAAATGTGGGGAGAGGGTGGAGCAAAATAAATAAATCCCAATGCTTAATATAAAAAAGTTAACACGGGCTTTTAAAATTTATTTGTTTTTCTAACTGAAACATAACTGATGGTACATATCTGTAGGGTACAGCATTGAATACCAATACCTGTATCTACTATGAGATGCTCAAATCAGGATAATTAGTATATTCGACCTTACACATTGTAACCATTTTTGGTGGCCCTTTACCAACCTCAACTAAGTATCCTTAGTTTATAGAATTTGAAGGTTAATTCAATTTTCTAGCTTCTTGGACCATAAAATTAAGGTTAAGATAGTACTGGCTGAAAAGACCATCTTTTTAAGCAATTAGGTCAATATCCCTAAAATGAAAACTGAGAAATAAAATACATGTAGTAGTTAAAAGTAAAAATAGAATTTTCCACCTCAGGACCACAGAAGTCTTACCTCGAGGTCAATAACCAAACCAGGCTGGCACAACTGGGTTTCAAAACTGAGGGAGTGAAGCTCTTCAGTAACTATGAGAGGACCCTTAACAGAGAAAAGAGAAGAAAAAAAAAGAATATGACAATTCATTCACTGATGCTGCAACTTTCCAAAACCCTAACAAACCCTGCAATGGGTGGTAGAGATTCTGGACCCAATCAGCTGCAACTCAGAAGACTGCAATATTCAATAATTGACTCCAGATTTCATTATTCTGTGTTTCCCAGTGTTCTCTCAAAGATATCTGAAATTACGGCAAGGGCTATGGGTTCAGAGAAAGAAAAGGTCAATGGGGAAACAGCAACTTCTAATGGCTTTATTTGGGACCTAAGGCTTCCTGGGCCTCAGCTCCATCTGCTCACCCACGGCCCACCCATGTGGAGAGTACACGTGTGTTCCGGGTGTGATTATCTACTGGAAAGGCTGAGTCACATAAGCTTGGAAGGTCATCAAGTGCCTTGGGTGGAGTAGAAATGTATGGTTTTTAAAGTGCCTTCATACACATTATAACATGTGAGCATCACACAAGTTAGAACTAAGGAGGCGCAGCTGCTAGATCTGGGGAGGTCACTGAGACAGCTAAGGTGCAAACCAGGCCAGACAGCATCTTTGCTCTGCCCACACCAGCGTCTACCTCACTGTTCCATACGACCTTCACTATCTGGTGTGGAAGGATGGCAGGCTGTGTGTGTGTGCAAAGGACAAAAATGTTCCAAAGCAAAACAACCCCAGACATTTCACCTTTTGTCCATAGTTCATTTGGGGTTTTTCTTTGGCAGCTGGCTGGTATGGGGATCCAAACCCATTATCTTGGGATTATAAGGCTGAACTCTAACCAATTTACCTAACCAGCTAGCCCCAACAGTTCATTTTTGTTTTTTCTTAAATTTTTAAAAAAATTTTATTTTATTTACTGAATCAAAATTGATTAGACATATTCTGGGGGTTCAACATTGAGATATGTTGATCAAATCAATATTACTAGCTTATATATTGTTACAAATCGTAACTATTCTTTATGCCCCTGTCCAATCTCTCCTTATCCCCCTCTCCTTCCCCCTCCCCCATCTGATAACCCTAGATTTCTTCTCTCCTTCTGAAAGAGTAATGGTTACTCTGTTGATTTGTTGCCTAGATGCTCTGTTCAATGCTGAGAGGTGTGATCAGGTCCCCCAATATTATCACAGAGCAGATGCTTCTTCTGTCACTCTGAAATGGGCGTTGTGGAGAGAGATGTCCTCTTCTTTATCTCTGCTGGTGACTCTCCTTGTGTCAATGCACTCCAGTGGCTGGCAGACCATCTGCATGGTGATTGTGGCATCTAGCCGCTCTCGAGGCAGCCATGGTTACTGTGGTGGCTGGGGTGGGCCACTCACATGGAGGTGATGTTTTTGGCATGCTCCTTGGCGTTGGCAGTGTGCCTGGTTGTGGGGCGTGTCTGGTCCCCAGCTCCATACCTTGGGTCACCGGGCAGGCCCCGAGGTGCTGGCGTGGTGTGCCTGATTGTGGGAGGGAGATCTGGTCCCCAGCTCCATATCCTGGGGCCGTAGGCAGGGCCTTGAGGCACTGGCCCAGTGTGCCTGGTTGTGGGAGGGGGGTCCAGTTCCCTTCTCCACCTCGGCTCCCCAGGCAGGCCCTGAGGTGCTGGCGCAGTGTGCCTGGTTGCGGGAGTGGGGTCCAATCCCTGGCTCCAACCTTGGGTTCCCAGGCAGGCCCAAAGATGCTGTGGTGTGCCTGGGCTGGAACCAATGTTTTTGTCCTCTGCTTACTTCTAAAATGGGGGAACTTCCTGTGGGAACCAGTACTTGAGCTGTGTGGTTGAGCTAAATTGCTGCTTTGCTGCTATTTCCCTAGGGAAGGCTTTTTGTGCAGCTCAGGGTTTAATGGTTGACTTTATAGGCACTTCCAGCTCTCCAGAGACCCAGTGGATCTGGGTTGTGTAGAAACTCTGATCTGGGCCTCAGTCTCTTCATCAAACTGTACCCCGTGCAATTTTTCTGACCAGTCTCCTCTAAGTGGTCCTGCGCTGGTTGGGGTGCAGATCAGCCGTCCTTGCTGTGTCCCAGTGTTCTCCTGGGGGCCTGTCTCCCCTGCCACTCATGCTCCAAACACATCCCATGGGACAGGCCCTGCGCTGGTCCCTTGCAATAACTCATCAGCCTCTGAATGGCTCCCGTTTTCAGTTGTTCTGGCTCCTTGCTCCTGCGTAGGTCCACGGGAACCCTATTAGTGGTCTTGCTGTCCTGGGGGCTGCCAAGACCCTCTTCTTCTCTGCTGCTTCCAAGTTACTCCATCTGAAGGGCACAGCTACGGCTTCTGCCGGCTCCTGCTCTGTGTGCTCAGAAACTCCAGCCTCAAAGCAGCCACGGCCTGAAATGCTCAGAGCAGTTTTTTCTTTCTCTCATCGTGGTTTCTCCTGCTGTCATGAACTCCGTAGGTCTCTCCTCCTCTTCCCCTGAGCTCTAGTGGCCCCAGCTCTCATCGTGGTTTCTCCTGCTGTCATGAACTCCGTAGGTCTCTCCTCCTCTTCCCCTGAGCTCTAGTGGCCCCAGCTCTCATCGTGGTTTCTCCTGCTGTCATGAACTCCGTAGGTCTCTCCTCCTCTTCCCCTGAGCTCTAGTGGCCCCAGCTTGGCTTATGTTACATTTTTGTAGTTGTAAATTGGTTGATTTGTGGAGAGTGACACTGGGAACCACCTATTCTGCCATCTTGACCAGAACTTCCCAACAATTCATTTTTGAATGCATCACAAACACAATTCTTCAAGGATCAGGTTGTAAAAAGGAAACTGATGAAAAAGGATGCTACTGGGTAAGGGATGCATGGCAGGCAAGTTCTCTGGGCACACTGAGCAAGTCCTCAGTATGGCAGTCTTAAAGCAGGCCACTTGGTCTCGCTCTGGCAGTAGTTCTCTATGCACACTTAGATAAATCCTGCAAACTTCCTGGGACTCAATTTCTCCACCTGTAAGATGTGAAGAATACAAAAGCCCACCATGCCTCCTCCACTGGGGTGTCCAGGAAGGTCCAGTGAGTTTGTGCGCAACACTGTTTGACAACTGTGAAGCACGAATGCAGTGTTTTTACTGTTATCACAGGTATACCAAGTCCTGAAGCTCATTCTCTGCCCTTCCCTGCTGGGTCTGAATCCCTCTGTGACGTGTCCCCAGCCACCAGGGGCACTGACCTGCCCTCCCTGGAAAGACCTGCCTCTCAGGGCCTATTCACAACACACAGACTCTCACCTCATTGGTACGGCCAGCATTTTTCTGTTCCTTCAGTTGCTGTAAAATAAGAAACCATCTTAGAAAAAGACATGTTAATCATCAAAGTTGCTGTCTTCGTTTACAACTCAGACCAAAGTTAGGATAGAAAGAATGAGAGATGTGACATTATCTTCAGAGGCAGAACAAGACATGAAAGGGCCCAGTCTGGGCTGTGAATACTCTCCCCAGAGGCCTGATGGGATGAGCACACCATGGGGTTGGAGAGAACCCAGGGAAGTGTATCTGCTCCCTTGCTGGTACAAACTTTCCCTGAATAATGTTCCTAGCTCCTTTATCAGCTGTTCCATGCCCCCAGGCTCAGGGGACAGCGTCTCCTCCCTCCCTCTTCCCTCAGCAGAGTCTTCCAGGATAGGCCCAGCAACTCCACGCCCTACTGAGGCTGCCTCCAGTGGATTTCCTTCAATCCCTGCGATTTCCAGGGAGCAACAGGGGGCCTGAGGGCAGCTTCGGATACCCGGAGACTCTCAAGCTGGGCTGAGGCTCCCACACACATCTAGCTTCCTAGTTATAAGGCTTGTTGATGATTGCCAGTGAAAAAGGATGCCTTTCACCTCCCTGCAGGTTCTGGGCCCTGGGAGAGCCTTGGGCTCAGTACCAACAGAGCCTCAGAACGACTGGCAGCCCCATTTTCGTGGAGGCAGAGAGAAGGTGCTGTCTCCTTATACATGCTCACTGGACTTCTCCTGCCCAGTGGAATGGGCCCTGCTTCTCTGGAGACAAAGTGATGGCGTCAGGCTGCCATGGAGGCAGGGGCTGAGGGCAAGGCCACTGGGAAGGAGAATGCAAAGAAGGGGCTGTGGAGAGGGTCTTGGGGTACACAGCCACACCTGGAGGGCAGGAGGAGGAATGGCCAGGATGTGGGAGCAATAACCTCTGAGAAAACTGCAAGAATCTATAGTGAGTGGTCACGGAGCTCGTGGAGGCCGCAGGTGTGGACAATGGTTTTTACTGAGACTGATATGGCCCAAAAGGACTGTTTCTGGGAGAAAGACTGGCAGAAAATAGAGTAAATGGTCCTGGGATAAGGAGGAATAAAGATGCCCCAAAGTCTGGAAAGTCTAGGGGGTGTCCTCCACATCACAAAGTGCCACTCTATTCTTACAGATCCCTATAAGCCAGAAACAACATAAAGAGGGGAAAACTGGTCTCCCTACCAGGTGTCGAAACTCAGCTGCCAGACTCCCATTGGTGGACTCCTCCATGTTCATCACTTTCGTGTGTGTGCCCAGAATGTTGAACTTTCTAAATCTGTACAATATAGGACAGCAACACTTAAAAGGCTGCAAACTACTAAACAAGCAAAAAAGATATCAAAATATAGTGCAAAATACATCACGTACCCTTTTACTGTATTTCTCTCATTGACGTCTCTGCGAAAAAAATATATAGAATCATATTCATATTTAAAATCTGAAATAAGCTTTAACAACAATACAGAAGTATAAGTAAAAGACAAATAAAAAATAGGTCTATACTTATGGATTTGCTGCCCTTTCATTCACTCACTCTCTCCATCCACCCATCCTAGCTCTATTTATTTTTTAAATAAATAAATTTAAAAATGAAAAAAAGTAGAATATATTCCCCGTCCCCTGGATCTCAGCTGGCCTTGACTTGCTTTTACTAACACAATGAATGGGAGTGATGCTATGCAAATTCCAAAGCAAGACCCCACAGGCCTTGCCTTGGAACACTGTAACCATGTGAAAAGCCTAGGCTAGCCCCTTTGAGAAAGCCCTGAAGAAGAACTTGGTTATCCCAGCTGAGACCCCAGACATGTAATGAGCCTGTGCTAGCCCAGACCAGAAGGACCACCTATAACCCACAGAATTTGAGAAATGATAAGTTTTCGGGTTTTCAGTCACTAAGTTTTGGGGACAGTTTGTTATGCAACAAAAGCTAAGTGATACACAAAGAAACCCACAGCAGAGAAGACATATTAAGACTCTGCTACAGTGAAGAATGTTCTCACATGAGTTGGAAGAAACAAAAAGTCAGAGGAAAACAATTGGAATGATCATAAACTGTTTTGAAACTTACTAAACCAGTATATGATACAAGCCAACATTACATATATACAGGGGTGCATATACCCTTCACGTAAGTGGCCAGGTCTAGGGTGTAAGGGTAAAATGGGATGGGCTGCTCCATGAATGATCATAAACTGTTTTGAAACTTACTAAACCAGTATATGACACAAGCCAACATTACATATATACAGGGGTGCGTATACCCTTCACGTAAGTGGCCAGGTCTAGGGTGTAAGGGTAAAATGGGATGGGCTGCTCCACTGGACGCCCATGAGAGATCCTACCCATTCCTGGGCCCCCACTGTCCAGAAGAGAGAAGGTGAGTCCAGCAGGCTCCACCCAGGCCCCCCAAACTGCCGCTGACCTTGCTCCAGAAACCACCCCCCAACTGGCCACAGAATCCTGGCAGCCTGGATCTGCAGCCTTGTTTTGATCAAGGGCCTCTCCTCTGGGGCTGGCCAAGGAGGAGGGGGTGGGCAGTGGTGTGCCAAGTCCAGCTGCTTCCAGACTTGGTGATTACAATCTCACGTGCATAAAATACACTCATTCTTTTGTTCATTCAGAGTCTGAAAAGACACAGGCATGCTGATCCTAGCTCTAAGGGAAGCTCCCGACATCTAGGAAGGGAGCTATCAGTTTACAGCTGCTGGGATCATCTGTAATGGCCCCACTGAAGCTACCCGGGAGCCTCTGCTCACCCGTAGAGTCTCTGGACCACTGGACGCCCATGAGAGATCCTACCCATTCCTGGGCCCCCACTGTCCAGAAGAGAGAAGGTGAGTCCAGCAGGCTCCACCCAGGCCCCCCAAACTGCCGCTGACCTTGCTCCAGAAACCATCCCCCAACTGGCCACAGAATCCTGGCAGCCTGGACCTGCAGCCTTGTTTTGATCAAGGGCCTCTCCTCTGGGGCTGGCCAAGGAGGAGGGGGTGGGCAGTGGTGTGCCAAGTCCAGCTGCTTCCAGACTTGGTGATTACAATCTCACGTGCATAAAATACACTCATTCTTTTGTTCATTCAGAGTCTGAAAAGACACAGGCATGCTGATCCTAGCTCTAAGGGAAGCTCCCGACATCTAGGAAGGGAGCTATCAGTTTACAGCTGCTGGGATCATCTGTAATGGCCCCACTGAAGCTACCCGGGAGCCTCTGCTCACCCGTAGAGTCTCTGGACCCTGGGCTCATCCCTAGGTCCCCAGGCAAGTGAGTTTCCTCCCCGAGCAGACACTTGTTGAAAAGCTGGTGAATCTACTCATTTAATGGAGGGGTCCCTTTTAGGTTAACAAAACCAGCATTTTGATAGTACAGGAATCTTAGATATAATATTAAAGGTATCTTACTTATCAAATAAGACTTTGACTTTCAAATTATAATTCAGCTCTTGCAACTTCACCAACAGCCTGGAAAGAAAAATTAAAGTCATTACTTTGAAAGATGACCTATTACAATTTATTCATCATGCCAATTCCCTACCTATGAACGTTTATATAAACCACTGGATTTCAGTTTTTGATTATGAAAAACAAAATTGATGTTTTTGTATGTCTACATGAGTTTTTTTTGTTGTTGCTGATTTTTTAAAGTGTATTTGTA